AAGAGCGTCAAGAAAGTTAACAAAGTCACAGTTCTGTTCCGAATTCTTAGGGAGGCATAGGATTACTTTTTGTTTAAAGTTATTCAGTAGATGAACCATTATCAGTTAGAAATTTAAATTAAGAAGAACCCTTCAATATTCTCTAGAGAGAGACATTCAGTAATTTGGACAATTCACTTGTCTTTAGATACACTTTTTGTAAGACAAGCATAACTCTTTTCTGTCTCCCAAAGGCATATTGGTGTCTGCTGAAAGAGGAGAAGCACAATTTATTTCAAAAGCAGAGACGTAATGTTTCTTCCTTTTTTTCATGGAAAGTCCTCATACCCCCCCCCCCTTTTTTTTTTTTCCAATACAGGATCTATCTCCATCCTTATTTCTCTCATTAGTGGGTGAACTTTATTTTACATTGAGTAGTATGGAATGTGTACACTTGTCACCTCAGTGATCAAGGTTCAATGGCAGATTGACTTGAAATTCAAACTTTGACTTCTTCCTGAATAATAGAAGAGGTAGTTGCTGAACTGTTTGAGGGACTGTGTGGTGGAGCCAGAAGTTCAAGCGTAAACTTTAGACTGCTGGGGAAGTTAAGCACAATAGTAGATTATGCTCTCTATTGCAGATTATCAGGATAAAACCTAGCTTCAGACAGATGTGTGCTCATAATAGAGCAGAAAATGCGCTGATGTTTTCCATCTGTGTTTAGGACTAGAAGACTGTGCCTTCCTCCGTTGCATACAAAGACGCACCATCCTCTGACAGTTTTTTGTTTTTGTTTTTTAGTCTTGTTTTATCCTTGTTGATGTCTAACCCCCTTGTGTTGTCTTCCAGAAGCTTTGGTCATCGCTGTGGAATTCCTGGTATGAGAAGGCAGGACGTCAGGGTAGAGAGTGGATCCTTGCTGGGCTGCTGTAATCATGAAGATAGTGATCGTAATTGACCTAATCATCTTCACTTTGCTGTCTTCAGGTAAGACTGATGCAGAGGGGGAAAGAGAAAGGTGACCTCCAGGTGGGTTACCAGGGTATAAACTCAAATATATGCTTTGGTTTTGTTTTCTTCTGTGCAAAATAGTTGCAGCTAGGACAGTGCCTGTGATTCCCATTTGCCTGTGTTTTTTCTGTTTGATCATTGGCAGATGGTGACCTTGTTAGTCTTGAAGCAGATTAATACAAAAGTTCCTTCGCAATTCAGTGAAGGCTTGTTTCCTCTGAGTAGCTGAGAACTGCGTACTCTTTAGCATTGACAAAGTTAATAAGTTTATTTTAAGCTACTCCCCTCTAAAATCACAACGGGTTCTTTTCAGAATCTCTCTGAATTAAGGTCAAAACAAGTGGAGTACTTATGTCTGACATTTCGCTCAAAGTAATAAGAACTTTAACGTTTTAACGTTCAACTTACTTATTCCAGGCAAACTTTTTACCATTAAGAGATTATTAGAGAGCCAAATACTTACACATCTGGAAAAGACAATGTTAAAGATGTTGCAGCTTTTTCGTATGCATTGTGGGGTTTTTTTTATTAATGTTTATTCACTATCCAGTTCAACGTAATACAGGATTTTCTATAGTCAGTAGCCAAATTGTCCCTGGTTTCTGTCTTTCATGGTGGCTGTTGTCAAGAAAGATAAACCTCTCTATGTTGACAGAAGTCCAGGAAGTTACTTTCTGTTGCTGAGGAAACACTTATTTCTGGTTTTAAACCATGTCCTAAGCCCAAATTACTGAATTGCCGTCATAATTCCAAATAGTCCCAGATCCTAACCTCCTGGATTGAGGGATTTGGTTCATTCTATTATGTAAGTAGTATATAACTGAATTTCTTCCAACTTAAAATTTTCACACTTCCCCTGGGAGCACAGGATTTCTGACTTTGGAGCTTTGATGTGTGTCCTATTGTTTAAAATCAGGTAGTCTTGCTCTGGAATGAAAATAGACAGGAAATACTGTTTTAACAAAGCATGGAGCTCATTGCTGTGGAACACATGGCACTTGGAACATTGGTCCAATACATTGGTCTATTTAAAAAATAACAGTCCTCTGCTGCAACACTGAATTCAACATAGGTAAAGCAATCTGAATCTCTATCAACATCCTCCCTCAATGTTTTACCTTCAGTTGCAGACTGAGTGCTGAATCCTAGAACTTTGTAGCAGAAATATTGAGATTGGTATGGATGAATTAGGAATGGGAGTATGTGTATGTGAAAGCACCAGAGGAAACAGTAGAGCAAAGGTTAAAAGAATGGCCTGTGTTGATAACCCGACAGCAATAAAACTGGTAAACCCTGAGGAATGTATTGTTTACATCAAGAGCAGAAGGTTTGTGCTCTGATAAAGCCACATCACAGATGGTTTGTCAGCAGAAAGCCTGCAATCTGATAACAGGAAGATGGTAACAAGGTTACCCCACGCTGTAGGTGCCCTTCCTCTTCCTTTTATCCCAGCAGGAAGACACACTGTAGCCATAAAGATGTCCTTGCCTTTGTTTCTTCATTTTGGATAGCAACCTTGCCTTAGATTAATGGAAGATGAAGTAAGCAAGATTCTGAGGCAGAAGATCATGCCATAATAATTGTTATGGTCTTGATAGGTATTGCAAGACCTATCTAAAAACTGGTTTATTGTTGCTAGTCAAGAGGAGACAAAGAGACATAGCAAAGACTCAACAGCAAACGTTCTTTGTCCTCCATGTTGCACAAAAGTGATCCTGGCCAGACTGCTTGGGCATGTCTTAATGCCTGTATGTGGATACAAGAGTGTGAGTGAGCAGAAACAACTTACTTATGAAGTTAAATAACATAAAATAACTTTCCCTTTCCACAAGGTCTCAACTTGAGTTTTGTTGCAAAACAAAAGTTGGGCTGAGTCCTACAAACCTTTACTTTTTTTGATCCTGCAGGGAAGAAATTCCGATGGTGCACGCTATCTGACCTAGAACAGAGGAAATGTGCTGAACTGTCCAAAGCCCTTACGGCGGTGCTGCCACTTGCTACTATCAATTCCTTTACCAGGATTTCTTGCATCAGAGCTCACAACACATATGACTGCATTGATAAAATCAGGGTGAGTCTGCAGAGATTTTCAAAACTTATTTTGAGTCCGAATCCTCTTCTGTAGGAGAAGAACCTGGTAAACAGAATCCACAGGAGAATGAAAAGCTACTGAAATGATGGTATCTCTCCTGTGACGAAGTACATGGTAGCTTGAGAGGCAAGAGTTCAAATTGGCCATGAGCTTTCCTATAATAGATGCGCCATTTTACCCCAGCTGATATCCTTGCCTTCTCCAGGAAATAAGTAGAAAGCTGCTTGGAAGTAAATGAACAAAACCAGAAGAATAAATGAAAACATTCTCAGAGCATTCCCCTTGCTTGTGGATTTCAGTCCTACTCCAACTATAATTAATGCTTTCTCTTCCTTTTCTTCTGTGCAATTTTTAACCCCTTGTCAATCTTTCCTGAAGTAAAAGACAAAACCCTTTTTTTCCCAGGTAAAACTCTTTAATTTGGGTAAAATTAGACATCAGGGGCTTGCAGGTGTAAACTCTATGTCAGTTCTGAAAAGACATGTTCATAATGCTACATGCTTTGAAAAAATCTATGTGGTGAAAAAGAAGACAAGCATTTGCTATAGAATAGTTCCACTAATATACTTAAAACTTTATTGGGATAGAGGATTTCAGTTTCTATGCTCATTCCATCCCAGTTGCCAACGGTATCCAAATCTGGCCTGGAAAACAAAACAAAGAAAACCTTTCTCATTGGTTCAGGGAATAATTTAGTTCATGTTTTTATTCGGTCCTGTGTTCCTTGTTATTAGGCTTCAGTTCTGTTATCTGTATGAGTATGGAAAGATTATAGCCAGGACAAATTTAAGAAGGGTTGCCTTTTTTCTTCAGTGATGTCAGAATTGTATATTAGGAATTTAAGGATCAAAGAAGAGGTGGAAAGATATTACTGGGAAAGACCAGGTATTTTGTTGGGGTAACTCATGTTTCATTGCCGACATGTTGCTGTGCTCAGTGACGGGGATTCAATTAAAAACAAAGCAGATGCTCGTAAAAGTCACTGGTTACTACTTCTCAGGAAGAAACTCTGGTCTTGAAGCAGCTCTGATTGATTGTTTCCTTGGAACCACACTGGTTCTGGGGGTTTTGCTGTTGTTTTTAAGGTGAATAAAGCAGATGCTGCCTCCTTGGATGCTGGAGATGTTTACTCTGCTGTAAAGCTATATGGCTTAACAGCGGTGGCAAAGGAGATCTATGAGAAAGGTAGGTTCATAAAGCAGAAGAGTAAGTTACACTTCTGATTTGGCTAATGAATTGATGTGCAGTGAAGTTTTTTTTTTTTCCAGCTATGTCAGTTCTTACACTGTGCTCTTTCTGAAAGTAAGTGAATGCTTTCTAGTGTTTCTTTAAGAGATTAGCTTCTGTTATGAGTTCTGTTATGAGTATTCTCTCCTCCTCACCCCAAAGAGACAAGAATACATAGTGGAACATCTTGTAATGGTAAGATTCCTCTTCATTCCATTTTGCACTGGCTTTGAATGGATGGAGCTTGATGATTTTGTAAACCTCTTCCACGAAATGTGTATGTTTTTTGCTTTGCAAATTGCTTGCATTGCTTCATTTGGCAAGATGCTACATAGCCAGTACATTATGATTTTCTCTGCTATGAATTCCTATATTTCATATGCTTAAGAATTTTTTTTTTCCTTAGCCATGTTCAGAGAGGTACTTTAACTCCTGTGATCAGATGGAAGCTGCGGAATTTGAATGTAGTTATTTCTGTTATATATTTTGTCCTATCAATCACAGGAAGTTGTGTATTTTCTGTGGCCGTTGCCAGACGAGGAACTTTGAACATCCAGAGGCTAAGAGGTGTGCGCAGCTGCCACAATGCAGCCAGGTGGACATCAGGCTGGAATATTCCGCTTGGCTTTCTCCTGGCTAGAAATGACCTCTCTTGGGATGAGGCACAACCTCTGAGCCAAGGTGGGTGATAAGAGTCATAGGGCTGTGTCTCTGCCCTCAGCGAAAGTGAGTGAAGTGGAGGCAGATACAGCATGAACTGAGCTATATGGAAATTGAAGGGCTTTGTGGATGAGATATCCTCTTGGAGTGTCTTTGATATTGGCTCTTAGTTCTCTTCAGGGCTTTTCCAGTGATCTCTTGGAGCAGCATTGTTACCAAAAGCAAAAGGAAATCTGTGTGTTCTGTGTGCAACAGGGAACAAAGCTTTGTAACATCTAGCCAACCAAAAGATGGTTTTAACCTAAGCAGAATTGGACCTCTCTATTTACAGAGAATGTTTCAAGTTTGACATTTAGACAATGAAGTCACATGCTGAAAATTAAATGTTTTTTTTTTTTAAGCAGCATAAGTATTAATTACACACATGATAGGTTCAGCCCCTTTTCTTTCTTCCATTTTTCCCATTTGACCATTTTTTCCCTTATGTCTGCAGTAATCAGTGAGTATTTCAATGCAAGTTGCATCCCTGGGATTGGTGTTGCTGCTCCTCGACTCTGTGCTCTCTGCCAAGGACAAAAATCCTATGTCAGAGACAAGAACCACTTCTGTGAGACTAGCAGCAATGAACCCTTCTATGACTCTGAAGGAGCCTTCAGGTGAGCTCTGTGCCACTTGCAGTGAGTGGGAAAAAGAATTGGTGAGGGGAAAAGCCAGGTAATGTGCTAATAGGATGGCATTTGTCTTGCTGCAGGTGCTTGAAGAATGGAGTGGCAGATGTTGCCTTTTTAGATCATCTAACAATAATGAATGCCACAGGTAATGCTAAAAACTCAGATTCCGTTTAGCCTTTAGCAGTGCTCTTTCCTGCGTTGGAGTTTCGGGGACGTCCAAGGAAAACTCAGTCCCTGCAAGCAGTTCAGTGGTATTTCTCAGCTCTCCATGCAAATCAGAAGGAAACAGAAAAGGAAAGAGTAGTTAAAAAATGATTAATCGTAGGAGATTCTTGTAATGGGAGTAGCCAGACATTTTCATGCAGGCAATTCCTTTAGCCTAAAGCCTCTGAAGCAGCTGTCAATGCTTATATTGCCTGACTGTTAGTATTCCTTTTAAAGTTCAGAGTATGTGCTGCTGGAATGGACAGTTTTCATATGCCTATTCTTTTTAACCCAACCAAGCTCTGTATCCATATTTTTGAAGGTTGTCAGGGGTAGTTGCAGGTGAGTATTTTTAAATACGCATGTTTACATGAGTATAGCCTAAAGAATATTTAGGAGTAACTGTAGCTGGGGTCCCTCTCTTTGGTAAGGGAAGAGCATATCAAAGAGAAACTTTTCCAAGTGTGCTGGGCACCCTGTGCTGCTTGCATACGCCTTGAGGAAGCTCCTCTGGAAAACATCTTACCTTCTATCTCTGTGGACTGCTGCCAAGTCATGTCTGTCTTCACGGATTTCATGAGTGTCCTGTTGTTTTAGAGACAGAACAAGATGAATATGAGCTCTTATGTCCTGATGGAACCACAGCTGAGCTGAGTGAATACAGCACCTGTAACTTGGGTCAGGGGCCTGGCCGTGGCATCATCACCCGCCACAACTTCCAGAAGATCACCAACAAATTTCTTACTATGATCCAAGTGAGTGGATATTATCAGCTCTATATCTCTGGATATAGAGCCTTCTCTCTGAATAAATTTATAGTTACTGTGGACAAAGCACTAAAAATTGGTTGTTTTGGGGGAGGATCATGCACTGGCTTCTGCAGGAGAGTTTTACTCCTCTCTCAAGTGTTCTTCTCTAGAAGGTGGGGAATAAATAAGTAGAGGATGGGAAGATGCCATAACAACACCCAAACTGGAAAATGGCTAATGACATCCATCCCACCCTGGAACTTTGGTGAATTTTTACATAGCTGAGGGAGACTTATAGCTTCAGGATTCACCTTTGTTCCTCTGTCTCTCTCAGCTTATAAATAGCATCTGCTACTTTGACATCCAGGAATGTATTTGGAGCTGAACATGAAACACATAACAGTTAAAGAATTTATGAAGCCATTCTGTCTTTAAAATAGTCTGACACTCAGTGAATAATAAAGCCAGTGAGCACATCTTGTGCTGTTGTGTGGACTCTGGCAGATAGCAGGAGTGAAAAAAATCTCTTCTTTATCGAGGGATCTTCAGATACCTTTGTCAGCCCGCTTATTAACGTGCATCTTAGCTGTGCTCCCCCCCATACATAGCAGTGGCCATGCAGCAATGTTCCCAGTACACTTCTCGGCGCATTCTTCTCTTCTGATACAGTAAGCTGGACAAGCTACCTTATGCTTTCTCACCATAAAGCACAGGCTATTTTGCATACCTATCCTGCACTGGTCTCCATCACAAAAATTTCCCGCTCAGCCGCACTCCCTGAGTTGCTCTTCCACGGCACGAGACATTGAGCACAGCCCAGTAAATTGCAATTAATGAGATGGGAAAGACAAAGCACCCGTTCCTCAAAAAAGTGAATCTCAGGTCTTATCATGCTTTTAGGGTTGGGACCGTCCACTTTAGTACCTGTGGGCTTTGTCCTAATGTAATGGACGTTAGAACCCTGAGCGCTTTGTTACAAAACACTTGTACAGAGGGATGGGATGATGAGACTGCCTGTCACAGAAAGGATGTGCAGATTTGTTGAAATTTAAAGTGTTGTTCTTGTCCTAGCACCTCTTTGGGCGAAAAGGAAAGGAAAGGGCCAGGTTTGAACTCTTCACTTCAGCACCCTATGGGGGAAAGAACCTGCTGTTCCAGGATGCCACCCAGCATCTGCAGCTTCTCGAGGAGCAGCTAGAGATTGCCTATGTCCTTGGTCTGGATTACGTAGCTCTCCTCAAGGGACTAGGCCATGAAGGTGAGAAGCCTCCCTGAGGACCATAGCTAAGAAAAGGGAGGAAAAAGTTCTCTCTCCGTGTTATCCCTCCCTGCTAAGTATGAGTGAATAAATCCAGACATGCTCTTAATGAAGAACAGATTGGTGCATGGACAGACATGATCTCATTATGCTCTTTCCCTCTGGTGCAGGGAGCTCTTTGGACAACAGTGTTGTGCGCTGGTGCTGCATCAGCAATGCTGAGCTTCGCAAATGTGAGGACTGGGCACTGAGCATCAAATCTGACCCATTGGTTTGTGTCCAGGCAACCTCCATGACCCATTGCATTGAAATGATCAAGGTAGGAGGCTCCCTGTGGTCAGATGACAAGGTAAGGCTGGGCTAGCATCTGTCCTTGTCTGATCTGAACAAGGGGAGAAACAACTTGTACACTAAACGTTCTAGCGGGAACGAGAGGGAATTTGTGCAGGGAATTCGCAGTCAGTGGGGAAATAACAGTTCCTTGGTTACAGCAACTTCTGTAAGTCCTGTTTGTGTTATTTTCTATAATGCTGTTGGCAGAGTAGTGAGGCTGATGCAGTCACCCTGGATGCAACGCATATCTACATTGCAGGGAAGTGTGGATTGGTGCCTGTAGCTGCAGAATGTTACGGTAAGTTCTCATGTAACCTTAGGAAGAAGGGAGGGAATCAAGAAAACCCCATAAAAAATATGATTGTAATGCCATAGTGTGCAATGTTTAGTGACTGAAGCAGGGAAGTGGGAATTGTCATCCAAGTATTCTTCCCAGCTCTTCCACTAACTGGCTCTAGCATTTGGCCTGGTTGTTTATTTTATCTCCTTCTATAAAGGGGACTAAAGATGCTGATGTAGTTCAAGAGAAGGACAGCAAAGTTATAAAGGTTTCTGGTGGGGTGCTACAACGTAATAGGAATGACAGCAGTTGTTGCAAGATCCTTAAGGTTGTCTCCTCTCTCCAGGGGATGGATGTGCCCCAGCTGCTGAGAGCACAGAGGAAACGTGGAAACTAATTCATCTTAGACGCAAAGGTAAAAGGAGATCTTTGAGAAGAAAAAGGTTTAGATTCTCCTGAGGCTGCCTCTAGGATATATGTTTGCATATATTTGCATGTTGGTTTGGAGAAGTAATTGCTGTGTGTTCAACGGGAACTTTACATAGAATGCAGGGCTGCTAGGACTAGAGCTTCGTGGCTGAGCAAAGAATGCAGATCCTCTGCTGTAACTGAAGATATCATGATGGAGGATGAGGGAGGGAAGAGGGAGGCTCTACCTGCCTGGGATACTTCATTGCCTTGGTATAACTGGTTATTGTCATTGTTTCACAGCGCTGTCACCTGTCTATGCTGTAGCCCTAGCTAAGAAGAATGTCAAACAGATTAACATCCACAACCTTGGGGGAAGGCGGTCCTGCCACAGCCATCTGTATAGTCCCGGAGGATGGTTACTTCTTTCCAGATACACAGTGGGAGCTCTGGAGAACAGTACTGAGAACTGTAACATTGACTCTGGTAAGGACTGCTTTGTGTTATCTGTCAACTAGACCATTGACATCCGAAGCCTGAGATTTGGGAGTAAAATGGAGATGGGGCCATGAGGGCAGAGAAGAACTTCAGTCTTACATGTCACTGAAGATATTTGTCTTTGCTCTGCTGTGTTCCTGAGTTAAACTCTCACTTCAGTACCAGATTTCTCTTAGACCACATGTGATGTTCCTTAGCATCTAGATACACCATAAATAATACAGCATAAATATCTCCACATGCGTAGTGGAAGGATAGTAACAGAAACAAGTAGCCCTCTCCCTCTCTGTGCTTTGATTAAATAACCTCAATAACTAGCTCTAACAGGTGTATGTTATGGACGCAGAAATGATGGGCTGGGTTTATCTCATAATATTTTAGTAGTATCAAATACAGTCGTAATAGAAACTCTTCTTCCCCTTGTGCTTTTAACCTGTGGCCTTACGTCTTAATCTTGATGTCTTGTGCTCTACTTTGAATATCAGCGAGGGTGCCCAAAACCTGCAGGAAGATAGTGTCCCATCTCTGTCCCTCAAGTTATGGGAAAAAAGTGCTATCTTCCATGCTGCTAATTAACACTTGCATGAGTAAAGCTGTGAATAGGGATGTTGCCACCTACTGTATGATCTGGTTAAAATCACTTCCCCCATAGCCTGTCTTGCTTTTCTAAGGTGCTTAGTTCTATTATTTTGCCATTTTCCCTCACCCGAGAAAGAATTCATCACTAATTTGGCCAGAAAATGATGATTGCAGTCTCAGAGGGTACAGGTGCTCAGGCGTTGAAGCAACTCCTCCTCTTACCTGAGTACATGTGATTCCTCACACTGTTTAGGCCTCTTCTCACTAACTCTTAAAATGGAATTCCCTTCCTCTCTTTTTGCATGAAGAGGCTTTGGAATACCTTGCTCTAGTCTCACCTCATTTTTCTCTGCTCAGCTTATCAGAACTACTTTTGGAAGGGCTGCATGCCGGGAGCAGATGGGAACCTGTGCAAGGTGTGCATTGGAGACAGCGAGGTGGAAGTGGGTAGAACATCTAGCAGATGTGCTGCCAATCACAATGAGCGTTACTATGGCAATATGGGAGCACTCAGGTAAGCCTTTTTGTCTGAGTCAGAAATGCAACTTAAGAACAATAGCCAGAATTGGCTTATTATTTTGCTGATCATTTTCTCTGGAGGATTTTTAAGCTGGTGTCTATATTAATTTTTGCTAGTATGTGTTCTGTTTCAGTTGCAGTTGCTATAGGATGTGCCACTGGTTGGTAATTTAAAGCAGTCATTAAACCATTTCCAGAGCAAGACAACGCTTCCAAACATATTAGGCTTGGAGTAGTAGTACTGGCCCATTTAAGACAAGGGATGAAAAATGCTCAGAAGGTCAGAGAGAAGAGGTGATGTGGTAAGAAGCAGTGTAGGGTAGAGGAGGTGATTAGATTGACTGGAGATATTTAAAATAAAAAGTATGAAAGAGTTGGAGACAGAGGCAGAGAAGAATTTTAAACATGAAAGCACTCTAAGAATATCTATAATGCATTTAGTTGAATGAAACGTTCTTTCCTGGGCACAGGGTGGGGTGTGCAGACCCTGTGCCAGGACTTTGCTTTGGGAGCTGCTTTAAGGATGAAAGGGACTGTCTTGTCTCTGTGCCCAGTCAATTAGTTTATATTGCCAGTAAGAAGGCATATAATTGTTTGTAATCAACAACGTGAACACTATCGACTGCACTGACATCACTAATTTGTTTCATATAACAACCAAGTAACTTCACATGAAGGGGATACTACCAATTACTCCTGTTTTAGCTTTAGATGACTGTTCGAGCCTCAGGCATCTTGTAATGGCTGTCTCTAACTTCTTGGTTTTTTTTCTACTCTAGGTGCCTCGTTGGCAATCCCAGTGGAAGAAGCTTTGGAGATGTAGCTTTCCTGGAACACTCTAACCTACTCCGGAACATAGAGAGTGAGATGCAGCTATTCTTTCTTCCCTTGAGAATGTTCATTAGTGGCAGTTTTTTCCTACGCAATGACCATGACTCCTAGGGATCAGCTTTCACAGGTTTCATGTAGGTTCAAAAAGCTGTTTGTGACTGGAAAATTGCAAGAACCTTCCTGCATGTATGTGTTCTAGTAAAGCTCAAGATTCAGATACTGTTCCTTTTTAGAGAGGAAAGAGGAAGAATCACTGAGTACAAAAATCAAGGGGGTGGAAAGCATCCTTGGAAACTGTGCTGGTGTTTGGAAAGCTCAATGTTTTAAAAAGCAAGAGACTCTTCCCATCAACCTTTTCTCATAAGTAGTTATGGTGCATGTAACCTTTGTTTTTAATCAAAAAGTCTCAAGAATGAAAATGGCTATTTGTACTGAGAGATGTTCTATGCCTTCATCATGACACTGCAATTACCTCATGTTGTTTCACAGGCAGCTGTGGACTAAACATTCCAGATAACTTAATAGGCAAAATCACTGCAAACTGTTTTGCCTTTCACAGTTCCTAAAAAAACCCAACAATAATACATAACAAAAAACATTGTTACTGTACGGTGAAAGGTTTTGCTTCCAATTTGCAATGGTCTAGCAATTGGATTTTGTGGATGAAAATGGCTTTGGTTACAGCAGCTTAAATCCCCTCAATCTCTTGATTACTTTGCCTACTCCTAACAACAGCCAAAATGCATTACCCTTTTCATAGAGGTGAGGAGGAAGGGAAACCCCATTTTATTCAGCCTGATAAAGCACATGGTGCAATTTCAATTTAGGCCATTTCAGTAGCTGGGAGAGACTGTTCTAAGAGAGGAGACTCTCTAAAATCCAGTAGAGGTATAAGGAAGTGGAAGCCCACAAAAATCCATGCAACAATGAGCAGTTTGTGTAGGGA